GCAGGAACCCCCAGAAAACACACCTGCTCTGCAGACGTCTTGCACCATCATGTGTTTCAGACCTTGTGCTTAAATGTCTTCAACACGTCACACTTGAAACACTGGGCGAAAACGGATTTAAAAGGCAGTCTTGTGACAGCTTAAAACAAACCAAAACTGAACTAAAACTCAGGTGGTAGAAATACAGTATGGAAATGACATTCTGGGGAACGGATGACGCTACATGCAGTGACGTATGGGCACCTCTGCAGTGTCCTTTAGGTCAGTGGCTACAGAACTGAGTGTCCGGAAGACCCTATGTATGTAACACGGAAGGCATGATGACTTGACTGATTATGAAGGTAATCACGGGCCGTCTTGGTAACTCCCAAGGGAGAGGTGGCCACCTCAATACAGGGTGCTGCTCTAGCCACCCCTCATGCAGTCACCGCAGCGGCTTCAAAATACCTTCCTGTTCAAGGTCAAGGCAAGATGTTTTATTCTACATACATTAACAAGTGAGCTTTAATTAAATTGAAAATACCCTACAGTCAGTAGGCAAAGAGAAACTTTATCTTATAATCTTAAACTAAGATGGAAAAATGGAAACAAAGTAGTGTTTTTAGTGCCTAATTTTGTTCTGCCAATCAAATAAAGGTCTGTGTGAATTCCAAATATGCATTTAAAGACTTATAGTGTGCTCAGTGGCAAGGAAAAAAAAAAGGAGTATAAGTTGAAATCTATGAAATAATGCAAAAAACAATGCTAAGGAATATAGATTAGCCATGAATCTAAAATTTCAACTTCCCTTTAAGATTTAAAAGGAGTCCTTAGAAGGAACACTAGTCTGCATGAAATCTGTACATTTATTCCCACTAAAATTTTACAGTTAGCCCAATTAGTAGCTCACACACTAAAATAAAATGGTAAAGGCAGGTGGCGTGGTGGTTAAGGCACTGGACACTCCCACATGGCCATCCATGATTTGAGTCCTGGACCTGGTGGCTTGCTTTCCCTCTCTCTCTCTCTCTCTCTAAAATGGAAACAAAGTAGTGTTTTTAGTGCCTAATTTTGTTCTGCCAATCAAATAAAGGTCTGTGTGAATTCCAAATATGCATTTAAAGACTTATAGTGTGCTCAGTGGCAAGGAAAAAAAAAAGGAGTATAAGTTGAAATCTATGAAATAATGCAAAAAACAATGCTAAGGAATATAGATTAGCCATGAATCTAAAATTTCAACTTCCCTTTAAGATTTAAAAGGAGTCCTTAGAAGGAACACTAGTCTGCATGAAATCTGTACATTTATTCCCACTAAAATTTTACAGTTAGCCCAATTAGTAGCTCACACACTAAAATAAAATGGTAAAGGCAGGTGGCGTGGTGGTTAAGGCACTGGACACTCCCACATGGCCATCCATGATTTGAGTCCTGGACCTGGTGGCTTGCTTTCCCTCTCTCTCTCTCTCTCTCTCTGTGTGTGTGTCTTTGTGTCTTTCTCTCTGGTCAAATTAAAATAAATGAATGAATAAATAAAGTTAAATAAATAATTCTTAAAAGGTAAAGGTTTCTGTTGGATTGTCTCAGCTGATCATATCCTCCTAAAATCTACATCTTCACAGACTCACTTTTGACTTCTAATAGAAGAAGTGAATTGTTTTCTGCAAAAGTTGATTTATAAAACGTTTGCTCAAGGGGACCAGCAGTTAGCATAATGGCTATGTCGCTGGACTCCCATGTAGTCGACGGCAGTTCGAGTCCCGGACCTGGCGGCTTAAACTCACGCCAGGCGCGTGTGCATGCGTGCCCAAGATCCTGAGAGGAGAATGGAGGAGAAGGGATTGTGGCATGGCCATCCCTCCTGGGGGGTGATTTCTCGCTTTCTATCTCTGTCTGTCTGGCGAGTGCACTCGCCCTATAGCGAAAAACCTCTCCAAAAAGAAAAAAAAAAAAGTTTGCTCAAGACTGTCAAAGCTGAACTACTGAAGAATACAAGAGACCAGAGTTTTTAAAGTTTAGCTTTATTTTTTTTTACTAAAGTCCAGAAATTTCTGTAAGACAAGTACATTAATGAAATGTTTCCAAAGAAATACGGAACAATATATATTCTAGTTTGCTGAGGGTTCCAGCTCAAAAGTTCATACCTAATTCTTGGGCATTAAAAATCAGCATGGCTCTTGGATGATCTAGAATATACTGTGTTTTGAAATTCACAGCTGGATTGATTTTTTAATCATAATGAAAAACCAGTATTCCTATTCTATCAAATGTGTTTACAAGCAATAATAAATTCAGATCCACTGTATTATGCAACACACATCTTTGGAAAGCAACATAAAACAGTGAGATCAGATCAGTAGAAATATACACAGTTAAAAGAAATACACAAAGTACTGTAGTTTTATTAAAAACTACTACTTGAGAAAGAAATCTCCTTTCCACAAATAGCATAAAACTGGAGAGTGATGAAAGGACTTGGGAAAGCTTTACGAAAGCTTAATTCCAACTGTATCTTCCTGAGGGTGGTGGCAGCGGGTATTTCCTTCCTTCTCTGGGGTAGCCCTGAAAATAAACAAAGAAAGAGTTTACTTTGGGATTAATACTCTTGCAAAGACATTAATATTGCAGCTTACAGCCCTAAAAACCTCACCGCAGAGCAACTGAGTATTCAAAGGTACAGCACATGGAAATCCCCAAGAAGCAGGTGCTTTGGTCCAGAGTTTTAAAACAAGCTTGTTGCAAAGTTGGAGACTAACACCAATGCTATCACCATACAATAACCAAACAAGCCTTAACAACCACTTAGTAAAGTCCCCAATGCATACAAATGGACTACAGTTGAGTCCTTTGTGTAAGTAACATGTACAGACAGTAGTTCGCAAGTTTCCTACCAACCCCAGCAGTAATTCAGGTCACACTGTGGAACGGTATCCATGGTATCTTTAGGTACCACATGAGGGAAGTCACTTCGCTTAAGCAAGGCAAGGGTTTGCTAAGTCAGTTAAGGCATAATGAGCAATTAATTCTGGGATACTCTGTTAGTAATAAACAGCAGAACCTTAAGTAACACATTAAGGTCATTACATAATCAATTAACCATTAAGTTATTAACAGTAACATATCCTAGTGTGCTTGCAAATAACATTCCTATGTAACACAAGACAAACGTGACACTGCTTCTATCGTAGTTCTCTCTCTAGGCCTCCAGGGATCTGAAATGGACTGACCCTCCCTCCCACTTTGCCACTCAGAGCTCTTCAGTAATTTAAATTGTAGTAGGAATGTATGTAGTCCCTCAAGGCCACAATGCAGGCTAAGGCCTTGTTCAGTCATATATACGTCGCCAAAAATATAAAAAAGTCATGATTCTATGATTCTGTTTTTAATAATGACTTTCTGTAACTTAACAGTACTTCAATGATTGTGATATAATAAAAAGTATCTCAGTGGAAAAGAGACTTAGGAAAATAATGTTTTTCCAAAAAGTTCTAAAAGAATCATAAATTGACCAATTGGTTTCTGTCTTCTGAGAAACACACCCTCCTGTAACAGCAGACAGTTACTCTGAAGTGTGGCCCGGGCTCTGCAGTCCCAGCAGCCAGGCTCCAGCTCTGCTGACAAGCTATCAGGGGCTTGATGATCTCAGTCCTTGATTTGGGTCTAAAGATTCCCTATGGTTTCTTCTAGTTACAAATGCCCTTATTTCCAAAATGCTCATTTTTAAACTGCCTAGTGCCAGCTAGACTCTGAAAGCATAAACAATTTACTGATATGATTCTGAGAGTCTTGGCTTGCAAGAATTTCAAAATAGCAACCTATGAACTGATGTTAAGGAACTATAACAAAATCCTTTCATAAGGCATTAACTATTTGCAATTAAAGTGACTTCTTTCTTGCAAGGTGGTCAGAGACTTACCAAAATACATCCAAAAAGTATAAACAAATGTTTTCCCTAGCTATTAGGAGAAGGGACTTACATTAAAAGGGGCACACGGCAAGAACCTGAGTTAGAAAATTAATATGCAAAGCACCGGGAAAGGCATAGAGGTACCACCAGGTAAGCAATTTCAAAACCACTTCACACCACAGCAGGGGCCAGATCCCAGGAACACCACACACTCTGAATCACAGCGTCCCAATCCTGTTCTCTAGCGTGAATTCGATTACAGAGGATATAAATAACAGTCAGAGTATCAAACTGTGGGGGGAAATTATGTTCAACACCCCTCTATCTTAAAATGTTGCTACAGCTGATGCTACAAAGACAAGGACATGAAGCTTACCTCACTAAACGTGTCTAAGAACTGTGATACCTATTCAGTGATATGACTGTTTATGTTTAGTAGAAAAATATGTGGGGAATCAAGGAGTTTCTTTTTTCTATAGGGAGGGTTACCAGATGAATCGAGACAGGAGACTTCTAAGATGGACGAAGAAGACAACAGCTCAAAAGGTCAATTCTTACTTTTAGCTTCCAGTCAAATGATCATCTATTAAGAGAGACCTAGTTTCTATTAAAGAACAATAACCCTCAATGGAAAGACAATGTGTTTTGGTGCTAATTGTCACTGACAGTCACCTAAGAAGAACAGGGTTTTGTGGATGCACATTCTCTAGCATCTCCAAGGCAGAACCTACTGCGTGGGGCAGGCACTCACCTGGCATGTATTTCTACTAATGGACCCAAGCTCAGCTGAGCCACTCTGTCTTCTCCTCTCTAAAAATGGCGGTAAGAAATCGGGCTCCTGACAGGCATGTGTACATACGAAACGAGCGGTAGGCTTTTCCTCCCACAGCCCGCGCGTTACCTGTCTCCCTCCGCGATCATCTCGTCTTGGTGGACACCCGCCGGGCCCGGCTAGCATTTGGTACTGGTTTGGCTGGAAGGGTGCATTTTGGGTTTGGAGCATCCGGTTCCATGGCAGCAGAGGTTCAGCCCCAACGCCTCTGTGGAAAAGAACCATGCCTGCATTAGAAGTCAAGCCCTTTCAAAGCACAAAGCCAAAAACTGGCAGGGAGCATGCCTAACCCGCAGGACGGTCCCATGTGTCTGACTGTCATATGGAGCAGAGTACAGGGATGGTCTTGAAGTCCCTTATAACCAGTGCGGCATAACGTGTTTCATGAAGTATCAGCCTTTATTAAGAAGGGTGTTTAAAACTCAATTGATTCAGAAGGCCTAACCTTTAAAAAAAATTTCGTTCATTTTTAATTGTGACATTTTCTTTTTAGTCACTTAAAGATCTCCAAGTTGGTTACATTTAAGATGCTATTCAAAGAGTAAACATGTACAAGACAGGAGAATGAGGCTTTATTTTAAAAAATGTCCAGTCTCATTCTTGGAAGCCATTCTTTCTAGTTAATTGCAGGTTGCAAATGAATTCTTACTGCTGAGTATTTTGAATCCAGGGTAGGGGACTTGGCTGTTTTTTCCCATCCATTATTCTGTTCAATATGTCAGAAGGTCTGATCGGGAAGAAACCTTTTCAAGTTCTATTGATGCAGCTTTCAATTGACCACGGTGACCTAGCAACGTGAGCTCTAATTGGCATGGGCTGGCTGGCATGTGGTGTGCAGTTTATAGGGGAACACAGATGCAGCCGCTATTATAACCCAGTCGGCCAGCCCCGATTACTAGTGGGAAGAAATGTTTTAATTGTCTTCAAGTGCCTATTTTAACTTTGGAGACACAAAGCAACAGGTATAATGTATTAAATCATAACTTAATTAAAAACTGTCACATAATATAGCAAAGATGTGCTCCCTAAAGGCAATGAGCATTTAACGCGTAACCTGCTCCTTGAGGCACTTTCTTCAACTTCCACTTTACAGAAGTCACTACTAAGAACAGGTGGAGGCAAAAGGCTCCAGTATTTTCCACCGGAGCTTTGAGGTAGCTGAAGTCATTAGGAGGAATTCAACAAAACTTTAAATTCACTCCAGTGCCGACGAGGTGATCCTAGCTATGACCACGCCAGGATGTGATTTCCACTGCACGGCCTTTGGGGAGAAAAGCCCACAGTTGGGTTCCGTGGGCAGCGCCACCTTCTCACAGCTACTCCAGCCTGAATCCACCCTCTCTGCCACCACTCGCCTCCTTTCACTCGGAGCCTGCCTTCTTTTTTTATAAAATAACACTGAAGATCATTATTTATATGTGATGGCTTGAAGAGAACAGCTCTCTCAAGAACTCGACAAAGGCCAAAGTATTCTTCACAGTTAGTGGGAGAAACCAGAGCTCTAATAAAATAATTTGTTGCAAGTGACATGAGTAAAACTATAATAAAATAAGGCTTCACCTCAGAAAGAAAACACACTACTGGGCTTTTCATTGTTTTTAGGCTCATTACTAGCGTGGATATATTTTAGCAGAGGTGCCTCATCTGTTTTAGCAAGAACAGCTCCGTGCTCAGGGACAGGGAGGGTCTCTGCTGGGCGCTGTAGGAGTGTAGACTACAATGTGCGCTGTGAGCAGGGGCTCACCATGCCTGGGCCGTTACTGCAAACCCCACACAGCAGAAATGCAATTCACACGCTCTAGTCACTGTGACCAACTTTTCTTTTTAGTCTTATCATAAAATCCAGTCAACTGAGTTTCAGGAAAATCTGCTGGCATGGAGAAGATACATTATAAATGCAATTTTAAAACATAAAACCAGGCTAGCCAGTGGCCTGGTGGTTATGGGAGCTGGATCCTCCTATGTGGCTGGCCACAGGGGTCAAGTCCCAGACTCAGCAGCTTAAAAACATGCTGAGCACGTGTATGTGTGCCCCAAATCGCAAAAGGATGGAGAAGATGGGACTGTGGTATGATCATTCCCCATGAGGGGTACTTTCCCTCTCTGTCTCTCAGTCTCCATGGTGAGCACACACAGCCTCTGGCAAATTAAAAATAAATAAAATGGCCCACCAGGTGGTGTGGAAGTTAAGGCTACTGTATCCCTCATGGCCGACTGCATGGTTCGAATCCTGGACCCGGTCAGTGGCTTGGAAAAACAGGCCAGTGGCATGTACATGAATGCCAAAATCTTGAGAGGAAAATGGAGGGGAAGGAGTTAGAGCATGGCCATCCCCACTAACGAAGTAATTTCTCACTTTTTCACTTTCTCTTTCTCTCTTTGGCGAGTGCATGGACCCCATAACAAAATTTAAAGGCACACAAGCATAAAAAGACACAGTTCTCCTTTTTGTTTGAAATGATTACTTATAATGTTTTTAACAAAAATATCTTTATGACAGAAATTATCAATAATTAAAATTTTTAAAAGAACAAAGAAAGAGGGAGATTGAATACTACCCTCTTCTGCTTTCCACTGGCAGAACAGCCTTCACTGCCCACAAGCTTTACCGTGTTTCTATAGTAACCATATTACTTCGCAAACACTTCGAAGCTGAATTTTGCCTAGGAAAACATCCTTTCAGATCTGGGATGGGAGCACTGAGGTTGACACCTCTTCACTCTGTAGGTGAGCACTGACTAATTGGGACAGATTATTGAGGACTTGGGCTCACGGAAGATAAGACTGCTAAATATCCAAGCCACTGTTTTGGAACGTAGGCAGTGACATGAAGCAACTACTACCAATTTGGATGTTCTGACTATAAACACGGCAAATCAGTTTGTAAAGATTTCCACAGCTTAAAAACTGAAGGGCCATGGGACCACTGGGTGGCATGGAGGTTAAGGCCCACACGGCCGACCATGGTTACAGTCCCAGATCTGGTCCCTGCCCCACCCCCGATCTCTCTCTGATCAAATTAAAATAAAATGAATGAATAAATAAAATTAAATAAACTAATTCTTAAAACAAAACAAAAGGGCTGGGGGCTAGCAGGTGGCATGGTGGTTAAGGTGCTGGACTCTCACATGGCCGACCATGGTTTTAGTTCCAGAGCTGGCAGCTTAAAAATCACCCTGGGAACGTGTGAATTCATGACCAGAATCCTAGGAGAAGAATAGAGAAGAAATTCCAGTGTGGCCATCTCCCCTGGGGAGTGATTTCTCACTTTCTGTCTATCTCTGGCAAGTGCATGCGCCTCATGGCAAAAACCAAAAACACATAAAACAAAACAAAAAGCACTAAAGGGCTGGGCCATCAGGTAGTGTGGAGGTTAAGGCGGCTGGATCCCACATGGCTGACTGGGCGGTTCAAGTCCTGGACCTGGCAGCCTAAAAAATCATGCCAGGCATGTGTCTGCCCCAAATCCAGAGAGGAGAAGAGATTATGGCATGACTATCCCCTCTAGGGGGTTGATGTCTCACTTCTTGCCTCCACGCCCCTCCCCTCATCTCTGGCAAGAGAACATGTCCTATACCAAAAATAAAAAATATCAGCAACAAAAAAACTAAGGGCTGCCTTGCAAATATATGGTGAGAAAAGAGAAGCCTCCACTGGCAAGAAGTGCCCAGGCAAAGTGGCAAAATTCCAGCCACGTGTGGGACTCCAATGCGGCTTTGCTAGTATTAGCACTAGTGACACTGGGCTGCTTTTGTGTCCAGGGGTGGGACGGGTGTTCCTGTTGTAGTTTTAAATCAAATGACAAATACTCTCTCAAGGTAGGAAAGAATTCAAAAAACACAGTATACTTAGAAAAAGATACACTCAAAATTCTCTTTTCCATTAGGATTCTCAAAACTCAAACCAGTGCAGTGGAAACAGACAGACTAAGGATTGGTAAAACCCGGGTCTCAAGAATTCCACTACTCACTAGCTTTGACATCCTGGCCAGGTCAGAATACTTTCTCTTCTACATCCTGTAAGGTTTGAAGGGTCGGCCTGAAACGTGCTACAGAAATGAGTGATGAACACACCTCTACTAGACAAGTCTACGGGAATGAATTCAAAGCTCTTTATAAATAAAATGGCATAGTTCGTAAATGACCATGATTTAAGACTTTTAAGTGGAACTCTATTAGGCTTTTAACTTTTGTTTACAGGCATAGTTTAAAACTAAACCTAAACCAAAAATGCCACACAAACTTGTCCCTACCCTCCTGGGTGCACAAAGTTGGTCAATAATACCAGTACTTGGCTTAGGTAGATTAAGAATAAAAAATGACAGACATCAGGGCAAGGGAAGGGACAATGATGCTGATCTTAAGAAAACCTTCAATGTGTACAGAGGGAAGGAAAGCTGCTGGGACTTAAGAAAGAGTGCCTCAGAAGCGAGATCCTTTTCCTCCTTTGAAGCACTTATGACTTTACATTATGCTCAGAGTCAATATTCTGAGGAATTTTGCTCCAGGGAAGTTTCTTGGAAAAGAATGGTACGAAAAGAGTGACCTTAGGTAAGCCCTGAACTTCTGTGTGCCTTCCCGTTCTTCACTGGTGAAAACGTAAAAATAATAGCCCCTACTTCAAAGAGCTACTGGGAGAAAGAAAGGAAGCCCCGTGTCTAAGAGGAGCTCATGTGGCGCTGACGCTCAGTACGCAGACAGGGCGCAGTAGTGGTTCATGCTAATATGGGAAAAGAAGGGGGCAATAAAACGGGAAACCAAATGTACAATCCAGAAAAACGCTCCCTGGCTTTAATTTGTTTGAAAATCATGCTAGTCTGAAATAATGAAATAACACAGGCTGTGTGTGCTTAGAGCGCTTCCACCGAAACCAAACACTATATATTCATAATTAGTCATACCAGATTTCAAACGAGACTTGACTAAGTCGTTGATGCTACTAATGAACATTCAAATGGACATGATCCCTTCTGCCTTCTTGAAGAAAACAGAAAAATGACGTTTTGGACTCTCTAAAAGAATTACACAGCTGTTTTAACAGGGAAGCAGCATTTCTATTCCCATTTATAAAAAACACTTTACTTATTTCAGATATAAACAGATGAGGGATTGCTAAAATGGCAGAAGAGAGAGAAAGAAAACAGACCAGAACTGGAAAGGCAAAGGAAGCAGGCTCACGAGGACGACCCGTTGTTTCCGCATTTACTGCTGCCGACAGCCAGCATGAGATGATACGTTTTAAAGCTGCCCTTTGAAAAATTATTCTACAGATGTTAATATCATTATTCATGACGTGCCCGGCTGTCTTGTCATGGAGAGTCCATCTGACTTGGGAGCACACAACTTATCAATGAAGGAACACATGTCAAACATCCCTTGTTATTAAACCATGTCACATTCTTCCTAGCCCATGGTACTTATTAGACTGCAGATCCCATAATCCTCTTCTGAGTCCCTTCTGCATTTAATTCAGTTCAGTCTTAAGTAGTTAAAGAAACTGTTTTCAGTGGCAACTAATAACTACTGACCTACAGTGACACAGCCCTACAATAGGCTTGTCAGGCCTGAAAAAGTTGTACCAAAGAAGCTGATTAGGACTTCAAGAGGTCTGTAGCAAGAATCAATGGCTGGTCTGTGCTAACGCCGAGTTGCCAACACAGACATGATAGAAGTGGGGCACCATTAGTTATGCCTCATTAAGCTGCACAGCCCTTCTAAAAAGAAATTTGTTTAGCCTGACCAAAACCTAATACAGTTTTAAGCTCTCAGTGTTGTATTTTTCAGGGCACCTCCAAAGCTTCCATAAAGTAACGGCCAAGCCCAAGAGAAGTACAAAAGTACATAAACACGAGTCTTTTCATCCAAAGTATTAACTGTATTTTCCTGAAGGACACGTGTAAGAGAAACAGATTTTGGTGAGAAAAAGTCTATTTCAAACCAACAGAGCTTTGGTTTCTATAACGCCCACAAACTCCAAATGTTGATCTGGGAAAATAATTAAAATTCATGTCTGCCTGAATATTACCTGTCAAATCTTTGCTGCTGGAAAAGAGGAGGAGGTCCTCGCCAGGAATCCTGGGGCCTCATATCTGGAAAATGAATAAGAAGGGTTAATCAGAGGTTTTTAAAGTAATTATACTTGGCCACCCACATATTTTATAATTAACAGTTCTTTAAAAAAAAATCCGAGGCAGAATTTAAACCAAATAAGCTAGAATAATTATACACGCCATACATGTAAACAAGATAAGGAGCCAACAAGGTCAGTGCATATTTTTTTGTTGTATTATTTTTCCTTTGATAACAAAACAGTCTTAATAACCTCGGCCATTCAATTCACATATTTTTCTCTGGCTAGCTATATGTATATGTATATATGTAAAGGCATATATATTTTTAATATTTATATGTTTAATGCTGTGCAAAAGCATTTAAGTCTTTTCTATAAATACAAATCAAACAATCGGTAGCTTTAACAGGAATTCTGCTATCAAAACATAAAGTGGAGAGCAGTAATCGCTCCAACACAAACCAGTAAGACGTGCTGATGAGGGCCACCCACTTTCCATTGTTTTCTGATGGTTAAACCTCTTCCCTGACACAAAGCTGAGCAGCAACAGCCCCAACTAGAAGCCGAGGACAGGGGCTGCTCTGCAGGCTGACCAGTGCACGGAGGGGAGCAGCACTGCAGCAGACCCCAGCCAGGCCGTAGCAGTTAGGCACTTCAGCGCAACCCACTGCAGCTACAGGAGCCCCCCTCCCCAGCCTCTAAGTCACCTTCTTGCCCTTCAGCAGGGTCTGATGTGACCTAATTAAAACAGCTGGTTCCAGAAGTTGTCTAATGAGTTTGCTGTGTGAGGACAGTAACCTCCACCAGCCTCCCGAGACCAAGGACAACAAGGCTTATCATAATGTATTCAGGCTCACATTTTAATGGAAACACAAACTAGAAACATGCTTTTCAAAATTACTTTCTTAAAGGAAAGAAGAAGTGAAAGCTTATCTCTGGTTAAGAACCAAAAATATGCAATCTAGTTTTACTTAAAAAAAAAAAAAAAGGCAAGAAGAGTGGAGCGTGTTTCCCGACCCCGAGAACAGGAGCAAGGAAATTATCTGGTGGCTCCTGTGACTCCAGCGTGATGCACTGCTACCTTGGCACGGGGCTTGCTCCCTTCCCAACATGGCTGAGAAGGCCAGACTGAGAAAAACTCTCCAAATGTGGGCAAACAACCGGAGGGTGCAGCCACCTGCAGCTACCACAGTCCACGCCCCCTCACTCCTGGCCAGCAGGAAAGGTTTCCAGAGATAGACCACTTGGAGGTAGGGAAGAGCCTCGCACCAGCTGCCACTTCCACGCAGAGCTACATTTCCAATGAAAAGAAAAAGAGAGGTATCCCTGGGCAATCTGAATTACGTTCCTTTTCTAACTCTTAAAATCCAACTACTAGCAGTCAAACTGAGTAGCAACACTGAGGTTTCACCGTAGTCATTAGATATATAATTCACGTTCAAATCTTAATGGAAATTCAGAAAGCTAACCACCACACAATCCAGAAAATGACAGAAGACAGTTCCCCATCACAGGCCCAGAGAAGTTCTCAACCACTATCATCAAGCATATGCTATCAGAAGATTGTAATCCGGGGAGGTAAAAACTAAAAATTCTTAAAAGAACAGCAATCATTTATGTGGTTTCTTTCTTCCTTATTTTCAATTGCCAGAGGGTACAGTTCACCAGAAAGAGACAGAGAAAAAGAGAAAGACAGAGCGCCCCGATGGCATGGTCATGCCAGCCCCATCTTCCTTTCTCCATCTTGATGGGATTCTGGGCTCCCATGCACATGAGCCCAGCATGTTTTTCAAATCACTGGGATCAGGATTCCTAGTTGACCATGTAGGTTCTGACTCCCTTAATGCTAGGCTTATAGGGCCAGCACTGTGTGGTTTACTTCTGCGGAAAAACAAAATGCACTTTGGGCTGCTTTTTCTGATCACTGCTCTGGTAAACTTGAAGACCCCTGGCATGTTCAGACAGTGTACAGACAGCAGAGTAAGAACGAGCTGAAACGCTCCCAGTTTCTGTGCCTTTACATATGCACAAGTAGCTAGTACAGCAAAAGCCAAAAGAAACACTGTAAACTTCATTTAGATGCTTGTCCAGTTTGGAATTTCCAGGGGCCCCAGAATTGCTGGGCTCACCCTGGAAACAGAAGACCAATCTGTGATTCTGGTCCCAAGGTGCCTGTGGGCACCTTATACGTGGGATAATCCCAGAACACTTTCTCTCAGTGGTATGTACAACGGCTTCTGCACTGGAGCCCTGATAAGTCTAAAACAGAATGAAGATAATAAAAAGACACTATCTTTATTAAAAGAGACCTTCAGAAGCCCTTATATAAATTTTTATGAAAATAAAATTAAAAAAAAAACCCTTGTATAGTTTCTCCTAGAAATAGGGCGAAGAGAGAGAAAGCACCACCTGTCAAACATTCATCAGACGCACACAGGCGACGTGTCAGACTGAACGCAGCAATACTCCCGAGTAGAACTGGAATGTAAAGTTCACTGAGTATAAGTGCTTCGTGTGTGTGTATGGGGAGGGGATGTTTCTCAACAGTCAACCAGCGTACCTGGAGATGCCCAGAAAAATGGTGATGTTCCTATTCAATCACCCTTAGCATGCCGGATGCTCCCCTCGACTTTTGCATTTACTATGTCTCACCTCTGGGATAACTTTAAAAAAATGTTTAAAATTATTTTTTAAATATTACAAGTATTAAAATATTATTTAAATATATAAATAAATATTTTTAAAATAATTCATTCATTCACTTTAATTTTGACTAGAGAGAGAGAAAAGAAAAGTAAGAAAGCAAGCCACCAGGTCCAGGACTCAAACCACAGTCAGCCATGTGGGAGTCCAGCACCTTAACCATCACACCACCTGCTGGCTTCACCAGGGTAATTTTTATCCACATGAAAACAGCCATGGGCAAAATTAATTTTCTGTAAAAATCTAAGGGAATTTTCTAAAACATTTCACAAATTCTGCCACACATTTATTTTTTGCTTTCAATTTGAACACACAACTATTTTTTACTTTCAATTTGAAAAGAAAAATAAAAAAGATTTAAAAAAAAAAAAAACCTCAAGGCTACCTTTAAACAAATTTCTTCATGTGGCTCTCAATACTATATATAACCCTTAAGTATTCCTAAAGCAGAAACATTTCCTGGCTGATAAGTAATGAAGTAGACAGTAAAACAAACTTATTATCATTCATTTGTATGGCTCTAACAGAAGATCCATTTGAGAGGGAGAAAAAAAAATTCTGAGATAGTGAATTGCACTTCAGAAGGTACAGGCGCAAGAGAAAAAATGACAGTTAATTTTTCCTCTGGTCTTTAAAAACTTATCCCTTTTCTAGAGCTCTAAGGCCACATAAACCAAGGCTTCACCAATAGCTTCTCAAGTGACAATTTACCTAATCAACGTGGTAATCACAGAAAAGATTCCATGTTTACTGATTACACTAATCAAAAATCACTTTTCAAACGCAGCTAATTGACAAGTTTACCGACTAAAACGGAGAGAAGTCACATACCACATTCTCCGGGCTGCAGAAACCGAATGTGTTATTCACACGAGGACTCAGGGCCACACTTGAGCCCAACACGTTATCAGCACCCGCACGATTACTCATCAGCCAAAACTGACACCCACAGAGAAATCAAAGGCTAACCAGGAAAAGCTACAGCCACACTCCACAGAGCTGGCAGTGGAGCCAAATGGCCCTTCTTGAGCGTAATTTTGTACTAAGTGAGAAAAATAGTTACAATATTAAAAACATTTTAAAAAACTGATTAAATGGTTTAGGTCGAATTTTCTTACAGCACTTTCTGACCAAATTTTGAAGTTTGAAACTCTATAAAAAGGAAAGGTGATCTTTTATTTCATACTTTCACAGTACTTACTATTGGCAAAGCATTGTTTTAAGTCCACCACGACTTAAATTCACTTAGTCTAGACATTCCATGAGATAGGTATCATAGTCTCTGCACTATTTCAGAAACCAGGAAACCGAGGCACTGACCAAAACCTGGCTGAGGTCACGTGGCTCAAGAGCGACAGAGTGCAAGCCAGACCTCATTTCCTTAACCATTGCCCATGACCCACACAACCTCCAGCTTCACATATACGTGCTGCTGGCTGAGGTGACACTTCTGTCCTTTAATTCAGAGGGACCACAGGAGAACCACTCTCAATTTCTGAGCTTCTCGGTCCAGAGGCTCAGAAAGTGCATTTCTATAAGGCAGGGTTAGGAGCATGAAAATGACTTTCACCGTATTAGAAGTGTGAAGCTGACAGTATCGCATGTACTTAAGACAGGGAGGACACACGGTACATGCATGTTAGTATAAGCATCTTGACAAATAGGAGATTCACGAGGAGAAAATGAGAAGAGTTTTGGTTGAAATATGTGAATCGCTGTTCTTTTTAAAAGAATACTACCAACCTCAAAATTCTAGAATTCATAAGAAAAATAAATACTAGGTTTGAGTCCCAGACCTGGCAAGTCTCTCTCTCTCTCTTGTCTGTGTCTTTCTCTGGGGAGTGACATGCCCTATAATAAATTAAAAAATAATAACAATTATAAATAAAATTAAACAAATAATTCTTTGTTTAAAATCACATCATAGAGATATCTGATTTCTTGCTTATCAAATTAGCAAGAACTTGAAAAGCAATGAGGGCTGGGTCCACGGCATAGCGGTAATGTGCTGCCCAAGAGCAATCAGCTCCCAGTGGTGACCAACTGCGGTTCAAGTCCCCAGTCCTGTCAGCCTGAAACACGCCAAGCACATGCATGCACGCCTGAGATCTGAGGGGCTGGAGGCCCGGAGGAAGGTGACCGTGGTGTAGCCAGACTCTGCTGGACGCATCCTTCTCTCTCTCTCTCACGTACATGCAAGCACTCTATCCTCGATAAAGAAAAAAAAAATTAAATAAAATAGGGACCAGCAAATGGCATAATGATTACTTCGCTGGACTCCCACGTAGTCAACCACGGTTCAAGTCCCTGACCTGG